CCTTGGGAGGCTGAGGTGAGTGGATTGTCTGAGCCCACGGGTTCGAGACCTGCCTGGGCAACTTGACGAGACCTCATCTCTACAATAAACTAAAAAACTAGCCGAGCATGGTAGCGCATGCCTGTAGTTCCAGCTACTGGATAGCTGAGGCAGAAGGATCGCCGGAGCCCAGCAGATGGAGGCTGCGGTGACCGGGAGCAGCCACTGCACACCAGTCTGGGTGACAGAGTGAGACTCTGACTCAAAAATAAATAAATAAATAAAATAAGATAAAATAAAATAAAATTTTTGTAGAGACAAAGCCTCGCTATGTTGCCTAGGCTGGTCTTGAACTCCTGGGCGCAAGCTGTCCTCTCACCTCAGCCTCCCAAAGTGCTGGGTTTATAGGCGTGAGCCATTGCACCCATCCTCCATATTACCTTTAATACAACGTAAGTAATAATCTTTTTCTTCTTGCCCAGTAGTGAAAATAAGATGTTTGGATGGATGCTATTAAAAAGATAATAATTTTCTCTTTTTTTAGTTCAGGTCTCACTCTGTCGCCCAGACGGGAGTGTAATGACATAATCATGACACTGCAGCATTGACTTCCTGAACTCAGGTGATCCTTTCACCTCAGCCTTCCGAGTAACTGGGACTCCAGGTGCATGCCACCATGGCTGGCTAATTTTTCTATTTTTTGTAGAGATGAGGTCTCGCTACGTTGCCTAGGACAGTCTCAAACTACTGGGCTCAAGCAGTTTTTCAGCCTCCTAAAGTTCTGGGATTATAGGCGTGAGCCATCATATCTGGCCCAGTGGTAACATTGTAAAGAGGTTTGACAGGCCAGGCATGGTGGCTCATGACTATAATCCCAGCACTTTGGGAGGCCAAGGTGAGAGATTGCCTGAGCCCATGGGTTCGAGACCAACCTGGTCAACTTGGCAAGACCTCATCTCTATAATAAATCAAAAAATTAGCCAGGTGTGAGGGCGCATGCCTGTAGTTCCAGCTACTTGGAAGGCTGAGGCAGAAGGATCACGTGAGCCCAGCAGGTCAAGGCTGCAGTGACTATGAGTGTGCCACTGCACTCCAGCCTGAGCAGCCTAGTGAGACTCCAACTCAAAAATAAAAAATAAAAAGGTTTGACAGCACTGGAGATCAAAGAGATGACTTGCTAGTACCACAAAGAGATGCTTTGTTTATGGCTCTGATTTCTTGTTGTTTTTTTTTTTTGAGTTGGAGTCTCACTCTGTCGCCCAGACTGGAGTGCAGTGGCCGCTCCCATCCACCGCAGCCTCGGCCTGCTGGGCTCTGGTGATCCTTCTGCCTCAGCCTTCCAAGTAGCTGGAACTACAGGTGTGCGCTACCACACCCAGCTAATTTTTGATTTATTGTAGAGATGAGGTCTTGCCAAGTTGCCCAGGCGGGTCTCGAACCCCCGCGCTCAGGCAATCCACTCACCTCAGCCTCCCAAAGGCGCGGGATTACAGGCTGAACCACCAAGCCCAGCTGGCTCTGATTTCTTATAGGAGCTTCTCTGGCAGTATGACCCATGGCCAGGGGCATATTGTCCTCGAGTAGTCTCTCCCAGAACACTCAGTAAAGTGGACTAGGAGCCCAGGAAGGATTGAAAAGGAACTTTCTAAGCATACCTGGAACAGAGAGAAGGGTACAAATTTTGTAGAAAGCAAGACACTGATTCAATCTCAGTCTTGCTTCTGAGTCACTGTGTAATCTCGGACAGGTCCTTGGAATCTTGCTTGCTCTTTGTGTCACCTAATCAGAGGTGACACTGATTAGTTAAAGAATGTAAATGTCTCCAATGAAAGATGATACATAATTCAGATTGGTATCATTATCATTCCATTATACCATTATGCTCTTAATATTACCGAGCATTAACAACATTCCTTTTATGATCCATCACTTATAACTACCTGAAGGAAGCAGACTGCTGGTTTTTGTATTCAGAGCCCATCTAGAATATCAACTGATGCCACCAAACCCTTTTTCCTCACCCATACAAAGACTTTTGCTTTGGTTCATAGAATTTGTCTAATAAAATTGTTTTGTGTGGTTCATTAGAGAGATCTGGTACAGAACAGGTAGCTAATTAATTGCATTCCACATACCAGGCTTTCAGTATGGGCCCTAAAAGGGTACTCTAAGTGAAGCAATGTCCAAGGAAAAAAATAAGGAAGTTCT